GGGGCGCTGCGGGGCTCTGGAGCTGCGGGGCGGAGTGGAGTGGCTGTGGAGGCTGAGGCCGCAGAGCGCGCACGTGCGATGCCCCATTTGTTCCTCTGCAGTAGCTGCTGGCCGACCTGGCCGTGGCCTTCAGATCTCAGCAGCGACTCTGCTGCCCTCCCGCCTGACAGCCGCTTTGTGCTCTGCCCTCAGTCTGTCCCGCTGAGGGACCTGGCCGGGTGACCGCAGCGCACTTTATTAGCAGTTCTCGCTGGGTCTTACCCCGTCACGGTAGGTCCAGTTCCTGTTCATGTTGATGATGATGTCTGAAAAGAACCTTCTTTTTTTCCCCTACTTTGTTATGTTGGTGATTTATTTTTGTGCTGGCTTGGCTCAAGGCTTCAGGACAGCGTGGGAAAATAGGGTGGCAGAGCACATTCTGGTTTTGTTGCCTACCCATAAAATTCATCTCCTTTATTGTCTGGAGTTAACATTGTCCCTGGAGGTAGTGTCATGCCAGATTCGTGGGACCCCAATAGACCTCCAGGAGCCGAATCCGATGCAATCACACAAGAGTCTTTATTGCAAGCTCCGGCCTGGACTCACAACCATTCTTGACGTAGTGGTCCCAGGGAATGAGTCCTGGCCCTTAGTTCAGTGAGATTTTATAGGTTTTGGGGGTACTCTTTGCGTCACAACATCACACAGCAAATCATTCCATACCCCGGGAAAATCAAACAACAACTCTTAACATTGATAGCACATTCACTGGTGGGAACAAGTTGGGTAGGGGTGATTGGTTAGTACAAGAAGGGGATTCGCTTCAACTGATTGGTTTAGGCCATGAGGGGTATACTGCTAAACTACAAGGTTTCCCAACATGTTATCAACCACCATAAACTACTGGGGGCCTGGGTCATCTGGCATTCCAGGTATTTTTCCCTGTCTTATGCTGATTGCCTGACTGAGTCAGGGGCACCTGGCCCTCAGACCTCTCCTTTTATTTACAGAGGACTCAGCAGGGCGGGAATGTGCTTAGGAGTGCTCTGTGGGTTTTTCCAAGGACAAGAGCCACGCCCCCTTCCTTAGGACAGGCCTTGAGATAGAAGCTGCTGTTATTTATTTATTTTTAAAAATGGAGTCACATCAATTTCTCAGTAGGATCGTAGAATCGTGACTTCATCCAGGTCTTCAAATGTGATGACATAAAAGTGCTGGTTTATTATTTCAAGACAAAAACAGTCCGAATCATGGCTTCCATTAATACTTATACTTTTTTGTTAGTACCATTTCCCTCTCTTTTGGTCTCTCTACAAATTTATATATTTTATGGGTCTTTTCAGGCAAGTTTTTGGTATTTTTAACTTTTTTTTTTGGTTAATTTTTCTAAATTTATATTTTAAAATGTACAATTTAATGATCACAAAAGCATATATATAAGGAGTCATTGTCCACATGAAGAAATAGACCATTGCCAGCACCTTAGTGGTGTTCTGTGCACCTTTTCCCATCCTCGGTCATGGGTAATTACTGTAGCACTTTTGGCTTTCCTTAATAATTTGTAAATTATATAATGAATATAATTATTCCCCATCTTGATAATTAATTGAGTGTTGCAAACTTTGAACTGTGTATCAATGGCATAGTGCATCTTTTTGTGTATGCACACAGGCTTTTTCTCAGTATTGATGAGAGTTTCATGTTGTTGCACATAGGTTTGTTTTCCTTGTTCTGTAGCAAGGGAAAGTCAAACTTACAGTCATTATTCTGGGACTTGCAGTTTACATAAGGTCATTTGCATATGCTTCTTTTTTTTGTTTTCATTTTACAAGTCTCTAAAGATGTAAAAAAACGATGGGGTGGGGAGGAGAGATATTTGGGACTGAATTAGAACAAAATATATTGTGTGCTTTTACTCTTATGTCAAAATGGATTCTACCATTATGTATAACCAAAAAGAAACAATTAAAAAATAAGTAAAAATGTAAAAATCATTTTTGCAGGTTGGACCAAAGGTTGTAGTTTTTCTGTCTTGGTCCACTACTTGAATAATGTTTTTCCTATGACTAATTAAATTTGTATTGCTTGCAGTTTGGATTATTATGCATATTACTATAATGAAAAGTTTTGTAGATATTTTCGGATTCAAATGTGCCCTTATTTGGGGAGAGGTAGGTAATAGATACCTATGGAAACACAGAACTAAACCAGTCAGGGTCACATGGTCAGGCCAAATATCTTAGTAAAACAGAAATGAACTTTTCATAACTTTGTGATGAGATAGCTCCCAATCTTAGGAAAGAATTAGGTTAGGTTCATCAGGTCACTCCAGGAAAACTGGGCTGGCACAAAATAAAGACAGACAGAGAGAAGTACCTTTTTCTTTGGGTTCAGTAATGGTTCCTCTGACCCAGCTCCCACAAAGGAGGCAAGGTAGGCAAGAAAGAGAGGGCACATACCTGGGCTTTATTGAGCGAGGCTGTTTGAAAGAACATTCCATTCATATAAAGCAGAGGGGTAATGTTGCAAGGGGCAGCCCACTCCCACTGGGTAATGTTCACTCCCAAAGCTGTGCTCCCCTGCTGAGTGGAAATGGGGATCCATGTGCCTCCAGGTGAGGGAAGCCAGTCTCCACATTTCCATTGCTCAGCTCCTATGTGGCAGCTCCTGACAGATATCTAAAGGTGTATACCCCAGAAAGAAATTTTGCTGTGTTGCAGGGTATGTGTCACTTAGATTTAAGCAGTGATGCCAAAATGTTTTCCAAAGTGGTTGTGCCTTGTGCTGTTCTCCTAGCAGAGTATCATTTGCTTTATGTGGCCTACTTATAACATTTTTTCCATACTGTAATAACATTGATAAAGTCTCCAATATTATATTTTGAAAGAATTAACGGTTTGCTTCTCCCACTGAGGTTGGCATTTGACTGCACAGTGGCTTTTTTGTGTGTGGTAAGCTGGATTTCAGCTATCCTGCCAACTCCAGTGCGTAGCTGGGATATCTGAGCACACCTGCTCCCGAGACGTGGAGCTGGGATGGGTCTCATTTCCCACCTTTCGCAGTTGTCCCACTTAAACCTCACAGAATAAAGGCACAACACTATCACGTTCAGAATCTGAGGCTTCATGGCTAGAGATACCAAATCTCATGCGGCACCAGATATAGGGATGGCCAGCAATAGGGGGTCATTGTGTTAAGATGAGTGCCTAGCAGCAGTGACAGTACCAGACTCTGAGGAAATGTGCCATCAAACGGATTTTCTCTTCAAACCACAGGTCCTGACTCCTCAGAACCAAAACAATTACATGAAGGAGGAAGTTTCAAGATTGCAGCATTAGCATTTCTGGGGACAGCTTTGATTGAAGAGTGAGGTTTCTGAATAAGCATTTAGAGCAGGCCTGGAAGACCCCACGGCAGAGCATCCCAGTGACCAGCTATTTTCCAAGAACAGAAGAAAATGATCCAGTCCCAGGTAACTGACTTGGGTTGTCCTCATCTTTTCCTTTCTTCCCTAAAAGATTTATAGAAGTTTATTTAAAAAAATACCAATTCAGTTAATCTGAAAAATGTAAATTAAAAAAGTAGGCTCTGGGAAGGAGTACAATTTCCATTATTATTATTGCTCTTATTATTACTTTTTTGGAGTGTGTGAATGTAGTACTGGGAATTGAACCCAGGAGTGCTCTACCATTGAGCTACACACCAAAGTCCTGTTTAATTTTTTGAGACAGGGTCTTACCAAGTTTCTGAGACTTGTCTTGAACTTGCAACCTTCCTGCTGAAGCCTCCCAAGTCAGCAGGTGGGATTGAGGTGTGTGTTCATTGTGCCCAACTTACTTGTTTTTTTTGAGATGGTGGTCTTGCTATGTTGCCTGCACTGACACCAAACTCCTGGGCTTGCGTGATCTTTCTACCTCAGCCTTCCAAGTAGCTGGGGTACAGATGTATGCCCCCCACTGCCGGCTTAAATGGGCAGAGTAGTATATGGGAGATGGTGTTCATAAGATACACACCAAATTAATAACTGTGGGATATCAAATGTGACTGGAGGGTACTGTATGTTACATGAGCTCTCAGCTTGCATTTATCTCTGACAGCCATTGCCACGAGAGATTCGTTTTCATTTGTGTGGTGTGCACTGATCTTGAGTAGAAAAACAGGTTATTTTCTGTACTGCTAGAACAATGCACTCTGATCTTCTCCAGAAGGAACTGGGATTTGATGTGATCTGCCTCCTCCAGACTGTTCTCAGTGTAAGCATGGTTTCTTATTCCTGCTTTTGTCATTTTAAAAGGAATCATGCTGCCAATATTTACTGTACTATTCTTGCCTTTTATTTGTCAATACATGCCAGCCTAAACACCTTTTTGACTGGCTGCACTGTCCTCTAAGTGATGTGTGTGCCATGATTTAGCTGTTCTGCTGCTCTTGGACATTTAGCTAACTGTTATTACAGGCCAAGCACATCTCTGGTAGTGCCTTTTTATGAAGGTATGTCAGTACTTTTGAAGGTGGCCACAGAGAGCTCACTTGATGAAAGTGCTCATTCTACATTTTAATGGATATTTCTCTTTGCTGTTCAGAGTGACTGGCCATTCTATTTTATGGGCATTGTAGCATGATGTTTAAAAGTGTTAGCTCCAAGCCACTGTCACTGTCATGCTTTGTAAAAAATATATATTTTGTTTTTTGGCTTTGACTCCTGGCCAGAGATCCTAAAACTATTGTAATTTCTTTAATGATAAGAACAACAGGAGTCTCTTTGTTATATTTATATGTCCTTGGCTCTTGAAACAGCTCTGGAGGTGACAGTTATCTGTTATTTACAATCTGAGTTTATGTTGATGGGGTGACTTGGAAAGCTCCTAAGGACAGCCTGGGTGCCTGGGGAACCAGCTGATGAATAGAGGGTTGGAGCTTCAGTCCCACCCCACATCCTCTCCTACCTCTTAGGAATAGAACGTTGGGGACTGACTTAGTCACTGGTGGCCAGTCATTTAATCAGCTATGCCTAGGTAATGAAGCTTCCATAAAAACATGAATAAGCAGAGTGTGATTATGCACACCTATAATTCCAGCAATTTGTGATACCGAAGCAGGAGATTGCAAGCTTGAGTTCAGCCTCAGCAACTTAGAAAGGACCTAAGCAACTTAGGGATTTTGTCTCAAAAACAAAAAGGACTGGGAATATGATTCAATGGTTAAGTACCACTGGGTTCAATCATCAGTACCCTTAAATCCCCAACACAAATAAATTAACAAATTATCAAGTCAAGGAAGGGATCAAGGGACCCTCTGATTTATACCTGGTCAGTCAGAACTATGGTAGGCCCAGTTGTGCCTGTATAATGACATTTAGGTCAGTGATGGGCCTCATATACTTTGGGAGGCCCTCCTCATGTGTGATTTGAGTTACCTCCCTGACTGGGTGAGAGGCGCTTAGACACAGCTGTGTTAGAGCCTTCCCCACCCTTTTCCAGGTCCAAGAGCTTGTCCATGCAGAGACGTGTCTGGCCACTGCCCCGAAGAATCAATCATTGCCCCTGACCTTGGGATGCTGCCCCCCTTAACCTTCATTGGATGGGATTTTCCCTGGAATTTTTGTTTCCCAATAAAAGCCCACTCCCTGGCATGTTCTCTCTCTCTCTCTCTCGCTAGTCTCTTCTGTAAACCTTGCCATCGCATTAGGTGGCTGGTGGCAGGAGCTAGGAGAAGCCGTCTCGGAGTTGGTATTAAAGGTAATGAGTCTTGTCTCTTTAATTTAAAACTCCCTAGCAATTACTTATGAATCGAACCTTCTTTCATGAAGCCAGTGCTGGTCGCATGGCAGAATATACCACTGGGACCTCATAAGATTATATTGCCTGGTGATGTCGTAGCTGTCTCAGGTTGTATAGGTAAGTATGCTCAGTTCTGTTTGCACAGAGATGAAATTGCCTGACTGATTTTTGGAGAACATAGTCCTATTGTTAAGCAATTCATGATTGTATATGTGTAATATATAAAGATGGTGTTTCTAAGTTAGCAAGAAGATTTAAGTACTATCCAATTGCCGGGTTTCTGTTCTCGAGACTAAAAGGCTCAGGGGTCACTCCAGTTGAACTGGGCTGACTGGGCTGCGCAAAATAACAACACAAGAGACATAAATACCTTTTTCTTTGTGGTCGCTGTGACGGATCCTCTGACCTTAAGGGTCTGCAGAAAGAGAGAGAGAGAGCACGCACTGACCCCTTTTATTGAGGAGAAGCTATTCAAATGAGGCAAGGGGTCAGGTTTCAGGGGGCTGAGTCTATCTTCATGAGGTCCACTGTCAGCAGGTTGACTGACACCTGGGTAGGCCACACCCAAGGGCAAAGTAAGAGAAGGGGACACACACAAGGCACTTTCATGGAAGATTCTATCCTAAACAGGGCAAGGAGTTATATTACAAAGGAACAGGTGAGCGTAGCTTCACCCATGGGGCTGTAGCAAGATACACCCATGTACGAGACACCGACCCTCAGGCCCAAGAAATGAGGGAAAGCTCTGCCACATCTCTGCAACTGAGCGCCTCAACACCCAGCCGGGGAGTGTGACCCAGTCACGTGTAAGGTTGGTCTCCCACATCCAATATAGAAACTTCTCACTGGATGAATAGATGACGACTCATGTATAATTATAGACTATTTTATTAGTATTTTACTCCTGCACTGTATTAAATATCAACAACAACTTGCAGACTAAGAAGGGGAAGTGAGCAGAAAAACTAACATCCCATATCATCAGAAGGAAATTGCCTCATTGACAGGAGTCGCTGACGCTGGAGGATGTGGCCGTGAAGTTCACCTGGGAGGAGTGGCAGCTCCTCGCCCCTGCTCAGAAGGACCTGTATTGGGACGTGATGTTGGAGAACTGCAGGAACCTGGTGTCCGTGGGTGAGAATGGCTGCCCTGTTCAGCTCAGAGGGTGCCAGTCTGTGGCCTTTTCTTTCTCAGTGTCTGAAAGCCTTGGAGGTCCTGTGGTGTCTCAGTCCCTCTCTGGTTCCAGACAAGAGGGTGTATTGTGCTCCCTTCTGAGAGCAAAGCCTTTGCTTTGCAGATGTAAACTACAGAGTTCCTAAAATAGAACATTACCTCCTGTTGACAGATCACAGCCCAGTTTGATGAACCTAAGACTGTCTTTTCCCATGAACAGGGTGTCAAGCCAGCAAGCCTGATGCCCTCTCCAAGTTGCTAGGAGGAGAACCGAGGACAGTGGAAGATGCAATCCGTGAGGCAAACAGTCCAGGTGAGAGGGAGAGCAGCTGTGGAAGG